TTTCCTGTCAGCTTCCTCCCAGAGCCTGGCCAGGGCTCAAGGAGGATCCAAGGGGAGTTGTCTTTGATCCTATACCACCTAATAAGGCCAGATGTGGCCCTGTCCTGTTTCTAGATACAGAAAGGTGAACATGTTTTGCTAATAAATGAACGCATATAACAATACTTTGTTAATGAGCAGCTATATTTAACATTTAGTTGGAAAGTTCGTCTAGAGGTCAGCTTTGGTTTGGGCCTGTTGTTCAGGCCTTGGTACTTCACTGACCCAGAGCGCAGGGATCTAAATTCATTTGCACAAAGGGCAGTGGAACTAATGCATAGACAAGATGATCCTTCTGAGATGAGAGTTGCTAATGAAACATATTCCTGGTGTTTCAAACTCATTTGTGTGTAATATTTTATACAGCATAACATGTCTTTAAAATAGATTTTTTGAGTTATAAGTTGTGAATGAGCTAGCACAGATACCCACTTTAGTGATAACTTCCAATGTTTCTGAAGTACTGCTAAGGTAAATTAGATATTGATTTCTGACAAAATGGAAGATTTGTCTCATTGCTGAATTCTGAACCCTACATATTATTAAATAAGAATTTGATAGCTGATGCTAAAACTTATTGTTCTGTTTGACATATCCGGAGTCCTAAACTGAAAGATGCCACTGCACAAATGCTCAGTTTAAAAACAAACAAAAACAACAACAAACTGTTTTCCCAGTCAGCTCTGCTCTGCTGGAGCCATGAGTGATGACTCTGAAGTGTTTCCTTTTTGCCAAATCATTTTCTTGGGGTGTCAGGTTATTTCTGCCACAAGCAGCAAATTGATGACAGCCGTGAGTGGCACTGTCTGTGTTCACACACACACAGGTGACTCCTCACTGGCTGACATTGTTCCCTTGCTGCATGGCTGGGACTGAGAGCAGCACATTGAACTCATTCTGACTGGCTATCTGTTATCTGCAAATCTCATGTGTTAAACCAGGCTTGCTGATTAAGCAAGAGCTATTTCCAAACAAAGAACTTCAAAAAAACAATTACTGGCAGTTTAGCACAAACAATTTAAAGATTCAATATGTAGCAAAAATAGATATTTTTCTTCATCCTTTAGTATTTAACTTCTCTTTTAACATCAAAGTTATAAACCCTGTGTCAGAATATGTGATGAGATTCTGCTGAAAGTCATTAGCAATGGTATAACAATACTAAAATTATTTATGTTGAGCAACATAAAGTTAAATGAGCTAGACCTTGGGTTCAAAGAGAAGATGAGTTTTTATGTAAATTAAGACAGATTTTTACTGGCCACTAATCAAGTGTTTACCTGTTTCCATTAAAACTACATTCAGTTTAATCAGCATGCCTTTTAATGCATGCATTTCTCCCCAAACAAGGAGCATATTTGTCATGAATATTTAAATTGGATTTTAAGTCCATGAAAGCTTAATTTAAATAAAAAGTGAGGTGGTTTTCTCAGGGTTGAAAGTTAGCATCCTCAGATCCTATTCAAAAATTGTAAACAAATTTTCAAATTAGTGGTCTCCAAAGACATCTTCTTAGCATTCGGGATTAAATGTCTTTAATTGCAAAAAGATTAAATGTAACTACAGTTAATGGAATGCTATCTGTACATAAATATAAAGGTTTTGTTTCTTGTTACTAAAGAGAACTATTACTGAATAATTCAGAAATGGGCAGAATAGAGTATTTTAAATATAAAACATGCAGATATAACTGCACCTTATTCAAATCTCTGTGGAAAAAAGGCCTGTGGATGTTGATTTCTATGAATATATATTGTATGTACTCAAACAGAAGTGAAGCATTTCATGCTGTAAAGATAAAGCAGAATACAAGGAAGCAGGGAGTTGACAAATGATGAACAAGTAAATAATTTTATGTTCTCTAGCAATTTACAGCACAACCTCTCCTAATTTGTCCTGTCTTTTCACAGGAAGTGAGACAGACCACCAGCAGCTCAGCTTCCTGTGAGTAGCTGATGTTTTATGACGTTTGAAGTCCAGCCCTAATAAAACCCTGGTTGCGTTGAAGTTGATTTGACACTCATCACGGACTGGAATAAAGGCAGCCAGACACCCCTATTACTCCAAAAACAGAGCTATGTTTTCTTTGACCTTCAAGGTCTACCTCAGATAAGCCAGCAGCAGTGGAGCTGTACCGGAGGTGTAGTACTGCTCATGATCCCCTTACACAAGCCCACGTGAGGCAGGCTGGCAGCAGGCTGGTTATCACTGCCCGTCACTGTCACCGGGGCTTGGCAGGGCTCTTTAGTCACTGAGCCACTTAAGTGTTGCTGAAAGATGAAGGGCTGGATATAAATGATGTAAATGTTCGTGAATGGATGCACTGTACTGTGATACTGGCTGTCACTCAGACTCACAGAGCGTAGAGAATGTTATTCCTTGCTGGAGGAGCTCGGTCTCAGCAGTTTGAGGGGATCTCTGTTGTACAGAATGAATCCTAACAGACAAGATGAACTGCAAAGACGTTTCCTGAGGAGAAAGTAGCAAACATGGGCAGGGATAAATGTTGACAGAGGTCGTTCACACTACATGCAAGTGAAAGCCATGGGAATTGAAGGCAGAATTCCCTAAGGCTTTATTGTAACCAGGGTTTCTCTCTTGATTCCTAACCAGGACCCTTGCTACTTCCAAGTTCTTATGGTTGCTCTCCCCTGCCTTGCCTTTCAGCAGTTTTGGTTTGATAAACAGCCTCGACATTGTTTGTTATACTGACTTCAAGTGTTTTGATCAAGACTTGGCTTAACAAAGGGTAGAATGTAGTCCCCTTTCTGTTGAAACGTTAGCTCTATGTGTAATAATTGCCTTTATTCAATAATTATATTACCTCACATTTTGATAGGTAATTTCTCTTGAAAATAATTTTACCTGTGAGTCATCATTGGCCAAAACTGAACTTATTTCCTCCAGTGGCAAGAATGATGGTGTAAGAATCAGACAGGAATGGCAATGGAGAGGTAGGAATGTTCTTGTATTCCTACTCCTGAATACAAACACTGGTCTCCAGCTTTTAACTCATGTGTCTCCCACAAAAAGAAACAATAAACTTAGGTTCATTACTTTTTACTTTAACAAGTAGTTCCCAAAATACTTAGCATATATTTAAGAAACAGAATATCAGGTTTTGCCTCAATTTTTATTTTTACTTTTTAAAACAAACCAGAAACTACTGTGGAAAATAGCTCTCGTGTGTCAGAGAACCCCAGCAAGTTAAAATGCAGAGAAAAGGAATAGATTCAAAACTATTTTTAATCTTGAGGAAATTAACATTAGATTAGTTTTGTGAACCCGGTGACTGCCTCGCTGGAGTTGTGAGGCGAGTACGAGGAGCCTAATGCAGTCACAACTCGCCATCTCGCGGCATGTTTGTGCATTACCGCGGTTACAATTCCGACAATCAATGAAGGATCTTTACTTTCAAGAAAGTGTAGAACAGCGAGTGTAGGCCCCCATAAAGGCATCTAGCCTTCCATTAGATAGTTAAAAACCTAAGGGGGGCAGGTATCCATCGTCGATTTGTCAATCACGGCGTCTTTAATTAGCCTCGAATGATGCACGGACGAGCCTGGCGGGTCCTCCCCAACTCAGCGGTACCGCGTGGCCCGTGCTGCCCCCGGGGCTCGGCCGGTGGGGAACGGACACACGGACTAACGGACATGGACTAACGGACACACGGACTAACGGACACACGGACTAATGGACACACGGACTAACGGACACACGGACTAACGGACATGAACTAACGGACACACGGACTAATGGACACACGGACTAACGGACACACGGACTAACGGACATGGACTAACGGACACACAGACTAATGGACACACGGACTAACGGACACGGACTAACGGACATGAACTAACGGACACACGGACTAACGGACATGGACTAAAGGACACACGGACCAACGGACACACGGACCAACGGGCACTCGGACCGACGGACGCACGGTCTCGGCGCTCCGGCAGCACCGCGGACTCTAGTGCCGCGCTGCCGCTGTTACTCTCCCCTTCCCTCCCGTCCCTCTGCCAGAGTCCCTGTCCCTCTCGCGGTCTCCCGCTCCACCCGCCGCTCCCTCCCCGCCGCGGTGCCGCCTCCGCCCGGCTCTGGCGGCGCTGCTGGGTGGGCACCGGTGGAGCTGATGCCATCTGGAGCTGTCCCACGCCTGTCTCCGCCTGGCTCGCCGTGGCTCCAGGGAGCACACACGTGAGCTGCGGACACTGCCGTGCCTCCCGGGGGCCCCGGCCCGAGCTCCGCCGCTCGGCAGCCCGGCCGCCGGCACCCGGTGGAGAAGGCGGGCCCTGGGGCTGGGCCGAACGCTGACAGACGCGTCTGGCCCGCAGGGAAGGCGAAGGAGGCCCTGCAGGAGCAGTACGGGGTGGGCTCCCTACTGGGAAGCGACGGCTTCGGGAGCACCTGCTCGGGGACCCCCGGTGAGCGGCGGGGCCGGAGGGAGGAGAAGGGCACAGGACAGGGCGGGCGGCGAGCTCACACCGATGCCTCTCTTGGCTCGCAGGTGGCCACCAAAACACCCGTGGGGCCAGGAAAGCCCGGGGGGCTCAGAACCGCGCAAAGGACGCTTGGGTTGGCAGGGACGGAGCGGCCTCAGCTCCTCCCCTGCCCTTTTTTGACTCGGCTTATGATTCAAGGTTTTGGCCGAAGTGGGAGGGGATAAAGGCACAGGTTTTCTCGAGCTTTTCCCTTGCATGGAACAGTTGGGCCTGCCCCAGGCCCCTTCTGCCTTCTTCCAGCACCAGGTGCATTTTTCACCATCCCGAATTTGTAAACAAGAATCAGATGCACTTGAGAAGGCTACAAGGGCCTCCCTCCATCCCGGAGGCTCTGGGCTCTGCCAGGGCTCTGCTGGGGCTCAGCTCTGAGCATGGCTGGGCCCACTCTCCCCTCACATTGCTCCGGTCAGCTGAATCACAGGGTGATAAAGAAGGGATACTTCAAGGGAGTTAAGGTTTAACAGAGTTTTTATTCAAAAAACACAAGGATAAAAATTAACAACCTGAATATACAACAGAAGAAAGGACAGTTTACAATTATGCCACCAGCAACTTTACTTTGACCAGCAAGGAGTGCAGTGCAGACAAACTCCAGACAAAGGGTCCAAGGCAAAGTTGAGAACAGCAAACAGAATCAAAAGAGAAAGTGACAGCACAATAGTATGAAAGAGTACTAGAAAAAAAAGAGCAGAAGTGCAGAGATACTGACAGGCAGTTCATTTAAGAGGCTCTCTCTTCTCCAGGGCATAAAAACAACAGAGAAACAAAGCTCTGAGCATGAAGCCATTCCTGTTCTCACCATCTCTTTGAAAAACCATCACGTCCAAGCCATGGGCAGCACAAGCTGGAGCCCTCACCTCACAGCTGCCATCCCTCCTTCAGCCAGACATGTCTGTCTAACAACATCCTGTGAAGTTCCTCCACCCATGTACTCCATCACCAACCAGAGATCTTCATCAACAAGGCAGCTGAAAGAAGAAGACAATGGCATGGAAATGAATTACCTTACAGCTAAATTACCTTATGGAAAAGACTGCACAGGAGTTTTGCTTCCAGGTCACTTGTAAATGAACACAGAGTAAAATGGAGAGACATTCCTGTAGCTACACTGTCCTTGGAATCTGCACAGTCTAAAGGAGGAGACATCTGTGAAAAAGGAGATGCCTTTCATGGCAAGCATGTGAAAAATGTGGTTTAGGAACACTCAAGATCAGTCTGGAACTACAACATTTGCCACCAGCTGGTTCACCACCTTAACTCAGCAATTCCACCAGTAACTCCCCAACTCTCAGCGTTATCCACGGGAGGAGGCCGTGTGCCACTTAACACAGAAGTGGTCAACTGCCAGGAAAACATTGCTTAAAGAACCTTCAGAAACAGACAAGACAATTGAAAAATGGGCAAAATAAGTGTTTCTGGAAACAAGAATCTGGTCTTCCTGGCATCCACAGCAAGGGAAAATAGTAGGGGAGAAGGCAGGCTGGGGCCAGGGCTGAGGAGGGAGCAAGGGAGGGCAGGCCCCAGCAGCAGCAGCCCAGCCGTGATGCAGTTAGTTTTATACACCCCAACTCCTCCCAAAGTCTGCCCAGGGACAGGAGACCATTGCTCCAGTTCAAACTTTCTGGGCTGCCCATTGTGGAGACATTTTCACAATTTGGCTGGAGAAGCCCCTCCACAGCATCTCCTACTGACTGCCCCATGTGAGGGGTTGGCAGGCTAAGTTCCCCCAGAAACCAGGCTTTCCTCCATCTTCTCCTGGCTACCTCCTGGACACAGCACACATGCAAGCCCTCCCCCACGTGCCTCTGACAACCACTGTTGTCAGGCATAGCAAAACTGAATTGGCTCCTCACAGCTGTTCATTATTTATTTTTCATGGCCACCTAAAAGGACATTGAAGACCATTAACTGGAGAAGGCTGTGGCATGAGACCACAACAAACATGCAACAAGTCTTTCTGGAGCAATGGAGCCAGGTTGTGCCAAAATGCCTTGGGATGGGACACCAGAGCTCAGTCAGGGGCTCTGACTCCCCCCTTTAGGGGCCACTTACAGGACACATGGCCAGAGACATTTGGCCTTGGAAGCTCTGGAGAAATGGTCTCTCATCCATTACCCACAAAGCTCTAATGACATTTTCTGCACCTACATTCTCAAAGGGCCTTAGTTTATCACCACTATTATTAATATTCACACACATTTTGCAAGCAGGAAGCAATTCTGGTCCTGTGAAACTAGAGCAAAACAGCTGGGAAGAGCTTTGGTCATTATTTCAAGTGCCACTGCCGTTGTTTGGAATTGCATAAGAGAGCAAACATGCAGCATACATTTCTAATATGATCACTGTCATGTGCTGTCACTGACACCAGACCTTAACACAACTGTTTGTTGGTTAAGGACAGAGCTTTGCTCTTGATATATGTCTTCTCATTTATCTCTCCCTCTGTGAATTTGCTGCAGGAGGACCAAAACCCAAAACTGAACCCAAGCAAGGTCTCTCCTTAATTAGTTCTTGCAGTATCTTTGAGGATGAAATGCAGGATGGAAAAAATGCTTAACAGTGTTACTGTTCTAACCTGGGACTGAGATAAATTGGGCCTCAAAAATGGCAGCCTCCACCAGCTGATGCATTAACATTTTTAGAGATCAAGACCATGCCAGCATGTCCTGCTCTGAAAGGTATCACTGCCAAGAAGTCACTGACTTGAACTTACCCTTGGCCAACTGGCTCAACTTCAGTGTGTTTCTTGGCAGGCTCCCCCATGCTCACAGTGTTCCCTGAAAAAACAACAGGAAAGGCAGTCACTCCAAGATGGAGATCCCGCCTTGCAGCAGAGCCAAAATGCAGCTGCACTCTCTGGGACTCTGAGCCCCTTGTACTCAAGTGGGCAAGAGCAATAAAGGACTCTGTGACATTCAGCTGCAGAGGAGCACTGAGCACAGCTGATGCTCAGACACACACCCCACACCCTGCTCTGGCAGACAAGATGTGCTCAGCTGCATCAGGCACCTCTCTCCTCTCCCCTCTGGCTGCGAGGCTGTGCTGCTGTCAGAATGCTCAGCCCATGATGCCTCAACAGAGGGAGGTTCAATGTCCTCTTCCCAAAAAGGTAGTGCTTCACCATCCTCTTCTCAAACAGCGGGATGTTCATGGTGCTCTTCCCACGCAGAGAGATGTTGTTCCTCCCCTTCCCCCATGGTATGATGTTTGCTGTCCTCTTCCCACTCCACTGGATGTTCCCCATCCTGGTCCCAAGCTGCTGGCTGTCTGCCCTCCTCTTCCCACACTGTGAGATCTTTGCTCTCCTTCTTCCTGTGCTACAGGATGTTCCCACTCCTCATCCCACACTGCAAGACATTCCCTGTCCTCAATCCACACTGCTGGAGCTCAGCTGTCATCTTCCAGAACAGTGGGAAATTCACCACCATCTTCAAGTTCACCGTCGTCTCCAAGAACAGAGGGAAGTTCACTTTGTTCCTCCTCCCCAGCCTTCTTGTCTTTCTGCTCTTTAGCCTCCTCTTTGGAGACAGACAGAGCTAGAGGAGCCCCTGATGCAGCTTCTGTGCTTTGTGGACAGACAGTAGCGTGAGGGACAGGCAGTTGTATCACATTTATGGACTTATTTATCCTCAGCTACACATCCAGCTGCACTAAGGAGAAATAGCATTCTGGGGTGTTCAAACTAACAGTAGGCTAAAGTAGACATTGCCACTTATGCTTGTGAATTAGATACTCCACTGTGGCTAAAACCATCATGCAATCTTCAGTCTGCAAAAGCATTCTGGCAGCTGTTCAAAAGCTCTTCAACAGAAGAGGGGAAAACAGTCAGGGATCCTTCAGCTTCTGCTGCTGCAAAGACACTGACAGGGACTTTGGGTCAGCCCACCAGGCTGGCACTCGGTTGCAACACACCAAAGGTTCCTTTCCACTCACGAAAGGAGGAGCTTCTCGTTAGCCACGCCTGAGGTGCCCTGCAACAAGAGACGTAAAATTAACCAGATGCTATCAGGAAAACAAACTGTTTGTGCTGGAAAACAAGGCAGTCGCGAGAGAGCGTTCTGCTTTCACAATATTCCATTAGGAGTCCTTTCATTGAAAGCCCGGTGCCTGCACGAAGAGCCCCCCAAAAGCGGAGCCTCCCCGCTGTCCCCCACAGCCCGAACCCAGCGGGATCCCCGCTCACCACCCACAGCGGCCGCTCCCGTGTCACCCCCTCGGCTGCGCCCACAGCCCTGCCCTGCCACCGCGGGGATCCCCCCGCTGCATCCCCGCACCCGGGCCCCGCACCCGCCACCGCCCGGCCCCAGCGGCCACCACAGCGGCTCCGCGCCCTCCGCCCTCAGCGCCGGGCCCGCAGCGGCCCCGCCGGACGCCCGCAGCCCCGGCCCGGCGATGCCAGGGCCCCCTCACCTGCTTGCGTGGTGTCGCTCAGGTCGCAGCCGCTGCCGGGGAAGTCGCGCAGCTTCCTCCCGCTCAGGCACAGGATGCCCGAGCTGCCCGCCTCCTCCAGGGCCCGCTCCAGGCTGCGCACCGTGTGCGACTGCGGCAGAGCTGCCGCGCCCCAGTGCGGCCCGGACGAGAAGGAGAGAGTCAGGTGCGCGGGGATGCCGAGCCCCGCCGCTCCGCTCCCGGCCGCCGTCCCGCTGCCGGTGCCGTTGTTGCCGCCGCCGCCCCCCTGCCCGGCCGCCATCTTGACCGGCCCCTCCACAACAACGACCGGGGCCGCTGCGCAGGCGCCGCGGGGCCCGCAGGGGGCGCCGCGGGACGGGGCGGGGCCTCGCAGCGCCCCTCGGCAGCGCCAACCAATCCGCGGCCGCGGCAGCGCTGAGGGGCGGGGCTTCCTGAGGGGGCGGGCGGCTGAGTGCCGAGGGCTCGTGTGCCGCTAGGGAGCGCTGCCGGGGCTGAGGGCTCGGGGCTCGGGATTCTCTTGGCAACGGAGGCATCCCGGGAGTGGGGGGAGCCCGGCAGGAGGGTCCCGTGGGGAAAGGGGTCCCACTGTCACCTGCAAACAGTGTGGCTGCCTGCCTCCTCTGGCCTTAGCTGGGGGTACTCCGGGGGGCTGTGGCATTCAAGCTTTCAGATGAATATCTCCAATCAGTCTGGCTGGGCCAGAGCTTCTGCTCTTGCCCTGAAAAAACGATCATTCCCTGGATTCCCAACAAGAAAATCAGGCCAACCTGTATAAACACTGCTGACTGCTGCCCTTGGTTGAGGTTCCAGCCACAGAGGGTGGAGGGTGAATAAACTCAGACTGCTGTTGGGCCAAGTGTGTAGGATGATTTTGTCTGCAGACATGGAGCAGGAGGCACAGTGGCTCTGCAGCTGGCAAGAGTGAAGCAGTGTAGGGGACCTTTGGAATTACAGATAAATAGAAAGCAAAAAACAATACTGGAAGAATTCTCCACCAAGTGCTGTGAAATGCAATGATACAAGTGGCTAAAGACATAGGTCAGTGGTACTGTGGGTTCAGTACAGTGACCAAGCAGGGCCACACAGCTATGCTGGTGTCCTCCCTGCCCTGGGATGCACTGTGGAGACTTTCATCTAGCCCTGTGCAGTTGCTCCTTCATTTTTAAACTTCTCAGACACCATTGGAGATGTTACTCTGGAGGTGGTGTTGCCTGGCCTGAAGGAGAGCAGAAGTTTTCCAGGTCACAGAGCTGCCCCTTCACTGTGGCCCCAGCCTGTGTGCAGCCATCCCGGCTGGGAGCTGGGCCAAAGGCAGCTGCTGTCACTCCCCAGGTGGGGAACTGCCAGGCCACCTGTCCTCACAGGACAGTGCACAGGAACTGTCAGACGCTGGATGAGCAGAGGCCACATGTGCCCCAGGGATGGCTCAGGAAGCAGCTGAACTGTGTCACATGAATACCCTCCCCAAAGGACAGGCAAGCCCTGTGCAGCAGTTCACCCTGTGCACAACAGCGGGGATAATTCTGTTAGAGACAATTATTCTGTGGGTTTAGTACTGTGGCATAATGGGGTATTTTATATCTGTTGGGCTGAGCTCACACTGTGCCCTCTCCCAGTACGTTTTTTTGTGATGCTTATGCATTCTGGCTGCTTGTGAATTCAGTGCAAAGCCTGTTATATCTCCTGCTACATAAAAAGTCACCCAGCACTGCAAGGGAATCAAAATAGGAAAAAAAAGCAGTTTTTATCACCTAAGCCCTCAATATAAAGAGTGGCTAAAAGATTATAAGGTACAGATTGCTAAAAAATGTTTCTTTGGAGAATAGAATCAAGGTGCAATCTGAACAGCAAAAGGATGTTTCCCACTCAGCTGTTCTTTCAGGACTGAATGGCTCCATCCCTTTGCAACCTGACTGAAGAAGTGCTCGGGCTTTCCTAGTGAGTGTGCTGTCTTCTGTCCATATTTACAGTCAGGAGGTAACTGAAATCAGGGATACTGCCATTTGTGTTTCTTGTTCAACTTTTTAACTTCTGTGACGTACAGATTATTTGCAGGAAGGGGTGATGTCTCCTACAGAGTTCATTAACTGGGGTGTTGGGGTGCATTTGTTTAATTTTGAACATACCCAGAGCCAGGACTGCTCTGATAATTTTGCCAGTAACATTCAAGGCATAAGAGACCACAGCAAAGATTTTTACAAAATACCTACTGAAAACTTCACTCTGCTTTGAAGCCAGCTTTTAAAGCAGTAAACTGCCTGTAGGTGGGCACCAATGGGGACCAGTTTCCCCCAAAGCACCAGGCCATGCAGTGTCACACAGAAGCTGAACTTGCACCAAAGAGCTGTTGAAGGAAAGGAAATAACCAGAGGTGACATTTGACAAGTTAAGTTTTTTATTCAGTGCACTGGACTCATACATCACTGCTTCGTCAACTAACAACATTTCACACATTCCTATAAAACCAATGCCAAGTCCAGTCTCTTGTTAAAGATGCTCAGTGTAAAAAGTAAAGCAGTCTATCAAATATTTCCTGTTATAAGTATAGCTTAGAGCCCAGTAACAGGCTGTGTCCAGCACGTTCAGTGCTGGGTTCCAGCAGTGGTTGGAGAATGGAGCAGTTACTCAGGGTTGATGCAGGGCTTCATTAACAAATGTCTAAACCCAGCTCATTAACATCTCACCCAATGTTTATCAGAGTGCTGCTGCTGGTTTGATTATGCTGCTGCTTTGAGCATGGGTGGAGCTGCAACTACAAAAACCCTAATGCAGAACTACTCAGCACTGGAAAATGTGATCTGGGCTGGGGCAGCCTGTCTTGCTCCGTGCTGAGGACAGTTACTCCAGCAGCACGGCATGGCACATCTCACCCCGTCCCTGCAGCAGCAGTCAGAACAGCACGCAATCCACAGAGAAATGCAAGGTGCTCAGGCCTGACTGTCAGGGCAAAGCAACAGGTTTTCAGGGTGGAGGGGTCTTACACTGCAAATCTCTGGGCAGGGATGCCTGCAAGCACAAGTTGGGCAGTTAGATGGATGTTGGTGATTGTGGGCAACTGCAGCATCCCCACTTTGCTCTGTCTCCCATGTGGGCAGGCACATCATCCTCAAACCCTCCCACCCACCAGACAATGTAGGGAAGGCTCCGTGGGACACCCTCCCACAATCAGCCATCACCCTGGTCAGCACAGGTGCCCTGGCAGGGGGACAGGGCTGGTGCCAGCCCTACAGCTTCCCAGCAGAGCTCTCAGCAAATCCATCTCCACTCATCCCCCTCCACCACCCTGTCCCTGTCCCACCTGCCTTGTGCTGTGGCCCAAACTCTCATCCTGCCTGATCCCTGCCCTCAATCACTCATGCACTCTATGTGTAAGGAAGGAGACAGCACATTGCCAAATCAGCTATCTCAAAGGGAATCTAGCAACTTTTATTGAGGCCTTGTCACGGAGCCTGGACTGTCACAGGCAGTCCCTGTGACGAGCACGCGGTCCTAAGGCATGGTGACCGTCCGTCCGGCGCTCCTGGCCGCTGTAAAGCGCCTCTTATTCCTCAGACCAGAGAACCTCTCATCCAGCGTCAGGCTGGTCTGCAGGGGAAAGCGAGAGCGAGTCAGTCCCCTGTCTCGTGGCAAAGCACAGCCAAACTTGTAGCAGGGTATTGATTAGAGCCCATCAGTCAGGCTGGTGATTCACAGCTGGTTAGTCAATTAAACCACTCAGCACACAGAGACAGGGAGCTCGACAGACTGTGTGTGGCTGGAAAACCTCCAAGCAGCTCCCAGCCCTAAGACAGAGGGCATCCTCGGCAAGAACAGGAGCAAGCAGATGGCATTTGAGCACAAGGCATCAGGTAAAACCAAACTGTCCAGACAAGAAACGCCGGCAATGAAGAAGGTGGAACAGGATTTCTCAGCTGCCCCAGGGCTCTTGGACCATACTTCAGTGTAAAATGTGACACCAAGAAGGGCACCAAAGCAAAGAGCGAGCAAAGCCCAGAAGTGCCACATGTCTCTGAGGAATGGTAAGCATTGACAGTGAAACAGTCCCCTCTGGCCAGGACTACTCATCAGCAGGACCTCCCTGCTCCAAGCAAGCACATGAACAGGCCAAGACAGGCCATGAGAGTGGGGAAAACTGGGCTGAGTCTGTAGTTGCTGAACAGTCTTCTCAAGTGCCTTCAGTTTTGTGAGCAACCTGGCCAACACAGCTACGGGACTTTCCTCCCAGGTTGTGTTAGACAAACCCAGCTGGCAGCCCCAGAAACCTGAGTGTGACGTTAACAGCTCAGTGGCAGGGCTGCTGCAGGGAGCCAGGTGCCTCCTGTCCCGTCGACAATCCTCTACCTGGTTGGCCATGGCGCGGAAGTTGAACCTCAGCAGCACCCCCTTGGGCTGGGGCTTGGCCACCCGTGCTGGGGGTCTCTGGCTTCGCAGGAATGGGTGCTTGGATCCAGGCCTGGGGAAAGCACAGAGCTGCTGTCACTCAGGATGCTAAGGCAGCACTTCCCATCCTCTGCAAAGCAGCACACTCCACCTGTCCCATGGCGCGTTTGGCCCCTGGCAGAGCCAGGAGAGCAGCTATGCAGGCAGAGTTCCAGCACTGGGGACTGTCACATCCAGGCTATTGAGGGGTGCTCTCTGCACCCAGGACATGCACAGTGCCCTCACCCACCCTTCTCTCTGCCCCCAGCTGGGTGCCAGGTCCTGCAGCTGCCCCTTTCCAGCCTCTGAGCTCCTCTTACACAGCGGGCACAAGGTGTCCCTTTGGGGCACGCTGTTTCTCCCAACACCCCACAACCAGCACAACCAGCCTGCCACTTCTTCCCACAATGGTGCTTCCATTTCTCCTCACTCTGCATAACAAATGAGGGCATGGTAATTACAGATTACCATGTAATTACAGGTAAATACAGGAGATTTTTATCTCCTTCTGATATGCTGGGAAAGGAACCAGACATTATTTGCTAACCATTTTGGGTCTGAACCATTCACTGCACACTCATTACAGAAGTGAAGCTGCAATAATGCTAAAAGGATTTGCAATGGCTTTTGTAGGGCTCCCATCCTAACAAATCACCTCATTTACTTACAGGCTGGGCTGGCCCGCCTGGGGATTAACCACAGAAACCGTCAGAATTGCTCCCGGGCTGGGTTTCACTTGCCACCTGCCGAGACAGGGAGATTTATCCAGCTTCAAGCCTGAAAGAGCACTGTCTATTTGCATTGTGCCTTTGTTCACCAATTACCTTCTCATCCTTGGCGGTTTCCCTTCTCCTTGAGAATCCATCTGCTGTAAAATATATTTAAAAGCAATTACTTAAAAGAACTAGCTCTCAGAAACAGTAATTCTTTTTCCAGGATTTTGTTTGGTGTATCTGAAGAGCTCCTTCCTTGTGAGTTGTCAAGAAACTAATTTGGGGTTTCCCAGTGGCACAGTGATGTGTATGGGGTGCCTTTACCTTGCCCTGCCTGTGCTGCTCTATAAACTGCAAGGTTTATTTTTATCACCCTCCCAGGATTTACTTCCCAGCTGCCAGAATACCAAGCTGCATTAAAAACTGCCTGCAAATACTTTCCTACCAATACATGCAGCGTTCAGGTCTTCCACCTCTTTACTTTAGGAAGCAAAGCTACAACTGGGCTGGTAAAATGTGAAGGTTTGTCACTACCAGCAGACTGCAGAGGAAAATCTCAAATACTGACCCCTCTCTGGAAGCGGGCTTTGAACCACTGCTGCACTCGCTTCTGCTGGAACGCTGGTCCCCTGTTCAGCAGGAAAGGCCTGCTGGTAAAGGAGAGAGACAGGAGGTGAGGATGATACCAGGTCTCTCTAACATTTAATGCCAAAATATCTAACCCAAGCTGGTCTTAAAAAGCAGTGTAAGAAGCAAATGAGGCTGTTTGTTACCGAGTTCAGCCCAACAGGTTTTTCGCACCAGCAAAGGATTTCAGAGGAACTTGATTTTCTGCTCAAATGAGGCAACAGTTTGTGTGTTCTGAGCTTTGCTCATTAAAAGCAAAAAACATGGGAGGAAAATCATAGAAAAAAATCAGGTCAGCAAGGACCTCTCAATGTTGTTCCGTCCTGTTCTGCTCAGAGCAGATGAAGGATTGCAAGGAGCTTCCTTTTGAAGCTTTCCATTGTTCCTCAGAGAACATAATGATCTCGATGAGACAGGCACCGAGACAGTGCCCAGCACCTGGCACACTGCCTTCCTCACAGCTCCTGGGGCACAGTCTGCTCCTGCAGCCCCTTGCTGGGACAGACGCCCTGTCTCTGCCCATCCCTTATGGCTGGAATCTGTATTTCCTGCCTGTATCAAAATAAATGCTATTTCACCCTTCAAAAGTGTTTCCCCAAGTGACAAAGTTTATGAAAAATACAAATGTCACATTTTCTGTGCTTCCCGAAATAAAACTGCCATTATTAACTATGAGCATGAGACTGTTTTCTTTCCAGGTGCCTTCCTAACATACCCAGGGGTATTTTTCTGGTGCTGTACATGCACATGGCTGTAGCCACACCCAGCTGGCACATACAAAGAGGGAAATCCCATGAGTTGCACAGGTAAAAACCACTGAAAACCAAAATAACCCAGAGTTACCAAAGATTTTACCTTCTCCCTGGGGTGTGGATGCTGGCAGCATCTGCTCTGAATCTCTTGGGGCCTGGAGATGGCTGTGGCTGCTCCTCCTGCTGCCCACTGCTGCTTTTGGCAAAAGCATTGCTCTTGGTGCCCTGAAAGAGCAGCGAGACCTCAGCAGCTGTCACCTGCAGCACAATCTTGGTACAAGAACAGGGGGTGAGGGCAAGGGACAGCACACAAGGGGCTGCTCTCTGCTGACAACAGTCAGTCAGGGGGTGTGCCTCCCTTCCTGCACATGGAACTACAGGTGCCAGGGAGAATGTTTCATTCTAGTGCTGCAGAAGCCAAAGAAGAAATAAAAGATTAGTCCATGCAGAGCAAGTCTCGCAGAAGCTGTGCATTACAGCCCTGCTCAGGTTTCCTTTTGGTCATCAGCTCTTTCTTGTCTGGACACATGCATTGCCTGGACCACACCCTGATGCATGGAACACACCAGAAGATCCCTCAGCAGGGTCTGTCCTGCAGTTCCAACACACACTGCCCCAGGTTCCAGCCTGGTGACTTCTGTGGGACAGCTACCATCATGTTAGTACCAACTAACTGAGGTCTATTTCCATATTCTTCCCCCTTGGTTTATTCCTGCAAAGTGGAAGTTACTGTAGAATTCTGCCTCCTAGCAACTGCTTATTACTCTCTGTAAATACCAGCCACACTCAATATCTGAGTCATCCCGGTCTTTCTTTTCAGGAATAACCTCACTCCTTGCACATGCATGCTCAGTTTAGGGCTTTCTTATTTATACCCCTACAACACATTCACTAAATGTGCCATTCTCCTCAGCACTTGCATTTTTTTAAAAAGCTCACTGAACATCTATGACCTCCTAACTGAGAGGATTTTCATCAGTGCAGGAAAACCCAGCTGCCTCTCACACTATCTGTCACAGTACTGGGAATCAGTGTCTCTGGTGAAAGTATATCTCTGAACCAGAGTCACCTGACAAGTCACCAAGTCTGTCCTTTGACTTCACAGGAACTTGGAAAATGCTCTGGGTGGAGAACAAATAACAAAGAATCTTAACACACCTCCTCTAAATTATAATACTAAGATGAGATGCCATGGAATTAATTTTTATGGAAATATTTTTAAACCTTTTCATATCAATTTTAAAAAATCTTTTTTAGCAAAGCTCATGGGAACTGATCAGTAAAATTATGCTAAGTCAGAAGCTTTATAAAGCTAACTGTAAAATTGCTATTCCATATTCATGTATGTCTGTACTCTGTACCTATGCATACAAATGCTGTGCACAGGCATTAAAAGATGTTTTTTATGCAGATTGTTCTTTGGGGTGCTCCAGGATCATAAAATTGAGCAGATTTCCACATGACATTTGGGAAAAGCCATACCTTCCTTACTGCCCTACCTCCTGAGCCGACGCCTGGCGATTTAAAGGGCTCACTCCATCGAACGCAGCAGCTGCTCTCCTCTTGCGACCAGGCAGGGCATTCCTGAATTGTCTCCGACTGAACTGCTGCTGTCCAAAGCCTCTTCTGAAACGGTGAGGTCCTAAAAACAAAGCCCTCTTACTTTAGCATCTTTCAAAATTTGGTTTATGACTACAGTTTTGTAAATAGATTATAAGATTAACTTAATCTGATACTACAGAAATAGTGGTGCAAAAGTCACACTGATTTATATTAAATAATTATTTTTTCCAATGTCTCTCTAGCACTCTTACTGTATATAGGACTGCCATACACATTATTTGATGTGAAAGAATACAGAAGAGAAAAGCCTTTTACAATTCTGATTCCTCATAAAGACAGGAACACCCACATCAGGAGACCTGTCAATCTGTTGTCAGAGCTCACACTGCTATGAATTAACGATGAAACAGAAAAAGCATTTAGATACAGATATACACATGACTTAAGCATCCCAAAGCCAACCCCACAGCAGCCTGAAACAGCTCTAAGGGCCCACATCATAGTATGATTTTTATTTTTCTTTTAGCTTGATATACCATAGCTTCTTGTATTGAAGGAGAAGTCTCCTGGTGCTCTTTTATGATACACACACACCCGCTGTTCGTCCTGCATTTAACCTTCTCCCCTAAGCCTGCTGATGATTTTGAGTGCTGAAGTGTGAAGTGCTGAGCAAGAGGAAAGCCCTGTCAGACTGAGGCACAGTGCTTCCAAACCTAATTACTCCACATAATAAAATTCTGTAGTCGTAATGAGACAGCAAATTTCTGAGTCACTCTGTGAGGTGACACAGGCACAACAACAACAATCACAAACCCACAGCTGGAATGCCAAGATGGAATTTTTTTCTGTTACCTCACAAAGCAGCAGATCCCTGAAGCAACACCTAAGCACAGCCACTTGGGCACCAGCACCATTAAGCTTGGCCAATTGCTGGAGAATCACCAGGCTGCCCTTCACACTAGTTTCTCAAGGGTTTGCCTGCATAGGGTCACCACCATGCTGATCTCTGTACCGAGGCAGGGAGCTCAAGCATGTCCAAGTCTACCAAACGCCTCCATTATCTATAACCAGATGTTCTACTTCTCAGTGCACACAGAGGGTAAACAGCAGTAGATGTGTGTTTTCCTTCACTGCTGCTTCACACTTTGCTGTCTATCCCCAGCTGCAAGGTCACTGAAGCTCCTCTGTTTTCAGCCCATTCCCCCCAACAGCCGCTACACCAGTGAGATGCACCCACACCTTGGGGGTGAATAAATCAGGCACAAAGCTGTGCATGGCAGAGAGCAATGGGAGTGCACTCAAACCCTGGATCTCACAGCAGAACCTCACTGACACAAAGCACAGAGCAGTGAGGTGCATATATTGATCTTGCAACGACTGCTACGTGACAGCAATTTATACTGCCTTGGAGCAACTGGAAATGAAGTGCTCTGAGGTAGCAGCGGCATTGCTCTGAGGGGCCACCACTGCCACAATGAATGAAGGCTCCAGCCTCAGGGTGTAACACCAGCCAGCACCAGCCTGAGCTGCTTACACTGGAACATGCTTGAAGATGATTTGAGCTGCTCTGGCTCTAAAACAGAAGGGCACCAGGACAGGCCCTTGGGAAGCAGATACCAAACACCATGGTGGGGTACTTTGTGTCCCATGGCCAGAGGTGCTGGTTGGGAACGTGCACAAAAACACAACACAGTTCACAAGCTCTGGGGCCAGTTGTTATTTCCTTTGCAGACAATACCCTCTCATTGCAGAAGTACAGGTATGTAAATGTTTCTCTCGTGACAAACATTCAGTTTCGGTAAACTGTTTCTTTTTGACCACATGTGGACTTTCTGTAGTCCATGTCCCTTTGATTTTTTCTCCTGCTTCTATTCCCCCAGTCTGTTTTTGCCCTGTCTTGTTTCTCTTCAGCCCCCACCCTGGGCCTGTCCCTATCTCTTGCCTGTTTGCTGGGCTGCTCTTCTCCTGGACACTCAGCTTTGCTGCACAGCTCTCCTACACCCTGGAGAGGACAACAGACTGCGCTCAGCTGCCTTTCCTGGATACTCCATCAGGGCAATGAGAGGGACTGCTGCAGAAGGCAGCTCTGACTAGAAAATCGTGTCCCTTTCAGTCTGTTCCTATTAGAGAGCCTGTGCTCAGCAGTGCACTCAGGCACAGCTCACCCAACACAAATAACACATGACAGAGCCATCAGCCTCCAAGGGGGACCCCATCACACCAGCTGGGGACCAAGGCCTCGCTCTGTCATCTGCCTCCTGAAGTGTGACACATGGGAGGCTTCATGTCTGCAAAAGGTCTGGCAGATATTTAATAATGTAAGAACATTTCAATAAAACCCCACAGTGTCAGCAGCTGGGGAAGAACCCCTACACACACACCCCATGTTTGGGTGTGTGATCAGAGCCTGGCTCTGAGCACACCTGGGATGGCCAAAAGGCACCTCTGCTCAGCCAGTCCAGTCTGAGCACAAGTTCCCATGTCGGACAGACTCTTTTTTCCAAGGAGATTTGAAATTCAAATTTCTCGTCATTAAAAATCATCTTTCTCCCACTAGGGAGAAGGTTTAAGCCATATTCCAAGAGGGATTAACAGCACTTTGCTTGCTGGTTTAATCAGCATAATACCCTTCTCCCTCCTCTGTCATTACAGTGCTGGGCTCCTCAGATCATCATTTTGATAATGGTTATCACATCTCAGCCCAGACAGGACTGCATTTCAATAGGGACTGAAGTGAACTGAGCCCCTGATGAATTATGGGCTAAATTCCCAGTCATGCTGAGATTCCCCAAATTGCTACTGACAATCAGCACCACACAGCATGGCAGGTCTCTGCACTTGGCAGGGTTGAATTCAGACTCCCTGAAAACCTATGAAATACTAAAACTAGCAGGAATAATTACATAAATTAACAGAAAAGCTCTCCCATCTAAGAAATAGGGAAAAAATATTTTCTTGGATTTGCCTCTGGGTGCAGTAATTGCTTGAGTGCGCGAGAATATCAAAGCCTGTGGGTTTTGATAGAAAAATCAATTTGCTAAGGGCATTTATCACCATTATGATTTGAACTAGAACAATCCTCTGTAAGGGAGTCTGTGGTGGTCACCAAGAACACAAAACTGGAAGGCAGCATTGCTCCCAGTGATCCCACTGTCCTGATCTGTGATTAGCACTCCAATATAAGACTGAAAAGATACTTCTGCAAAATATCACTAAAATCTTCAGGAAGTGACTTAGCAGTAATTAAAAAGAAAAAATTTCATAGAGATGCCATTTCATGCAGCAGATAACTTTGGTTTGTAGGTAAAAGCCAGTGGAACAAAACAAAGGTGTGATCACTCGGTATTATAAAAAAACCTCACCATAAAAATAGCATGCTTGGCAAAAGTGACAATTTAGCTTCAATAACTGAGCTATCAAATACAGTTACTGAGGGGGTAATTTGGATAATTTCAGTCTGCTCTGGGAAAATGAGGATTAGGAAGAAGCATAATTAAAATATGCAAAGCCAAGGGGAATAGAGAATAGATATTAAGTCACTTTAAATTAGTAATTCATGAGAGTGGAAGGGAGAGAAATGGATGAATTATGCTCTGAAAGGGCCCTGATATTCCATTGTTATGGGGAGAAAAGCTAATCAGAGCCTGAGCGCATCTTATACGCACACAGAAATTGGACAGGAGAAGGATTTAAGAGCTGGATTTTGCTAAAAATGCATTTCCCAGCCTGGCCAGCCTCTGCTGCCCCAAGTGCCCATCTACCTTGCAAATTCCTCTGCTTCCAGGCTCGGTATCGGGGCCGCCCATAGCCAGAGGCTGAACTCCTGTTCTTGACCTGCTGCCTTCTGCTGTCGCCCACGGCGCTGGCATCTGTCTGCTCTTTCCTGTGGCGCTTTATGATGTCATCTGGAATGAAATGAGGAGAAACCCATAGAAACTGCACTTAACACCAACAGTCATTCCCTCTTTGGGGGCTCGGAATTGTCCATGGAGCTTGCTGCTCTGTGAGCTACGCTGGGCAGACAATGAAAGATTAAGCTTAGCTTAGAAAGTATAGGATCCATTTACTGGGCTCCTGCAGGCTGGAGATTAGAGTGCAGCAAATGATTTACAAATGTGCCACCACCCAGCACGTCCCCACCATGGGCAGGACCGAGATTTCAGACCCCATTCCCTGGGAGATCTGATCGTGCAGGCTTCCCACAAGCCTAAGGGAGGATGTTTTTGCAGGGGCACCAGGAGCTCAGTGCTAGGCAAAGAACTTTTCTGAGAAGGTCTGACTTGAACTGTTGTAGAAAAGGTGGCCAAAGGGGGGAGGATGTGACAGCTGTTGAGCTACTTGGATCATGCACAAAGTACTGTCAGATGCAGAGCTCTATCAAGAAACAGCTCAGGCCCCTCAATCTCAATCAGCTGGTCTGCAATCAACGGGATCCTCTTAATTCAAGCAGTTCTGATGAAGAGGAATGGCAAAGGGACGTCTCTTCATTAATTCGTATTTTCCAATATTTTCTTCTTTTAACCTCAAATCTTCCAGAAAATACTTTGCAAATCTTTGCAAATTGAAAATAATAAAGGCACATCTGTGAAGCTACAGGCAGAATGTTTTAACTTGAATGAATTAGCAAGAAATGAAGCATCCAAAACAGGCCCTTTCCCAGCCAGTGGCTACTCCAGCTCCTTAATGTATCACTGGAGTCAGAGGACAGAAGTACCATCAGCTTTCAGTGGGTGCTTTCCATAAATTATCAGACCTCCAGCACTGCTCCCTTGTCATTTCCTATCAAGAAACTCCTGTGTCCAAATGAATACAAAGCCCAAGGAAAAGAAACAAGAGCACAAGTAAGAACACGCTGCTTTTGTGATTTCTCTTTCAAGTCTGCCAGGAAAAGAGCAGGCTGGGAGACGCTGGGCCATGTTCTTGGGATGAATTTGCTAATGGTCTCAGCTAAATGTGCCTTTGGGACATGTGTGATTTGGAGCACAGGATGCTTTGAAGCGTTTTGAAAGCATCCCTGCATGCTCTGCAGGGAGGTGACCACACTCATCCAAGGGTGGGCTGTCCACAGCATGAGGAGGAACATGAGAGGGGCTGAATGCTCAGGTGCCTGATCTGTCACCTTTCAGTGTCTTTTTTGTTTGGGTATGAGTTGTTACACTGCATTTTGTGCCCATAAACATGATGGGGTTAACAGAGCACTGTAATGGACTACCACACAAGGCTGCAAGGGGATCCTGAGAGGTCATTTATGGTACATCTATGCCCTCGAGGCAGAATTAGATCTATCAGGGCAGCTTTAAAGCAGCTCCTGAAGTTTTTTTGTGACTGCTAACTCATGTAAGGCACAAATGTATCTGAAAGCATAGAAAAAACACCTGTTGGAAAAAGCTCTTCACCAGGGGCCTCTTGTTTTCCAATTCTCTCTTCTACGCTGAGTAAGGTGTATTCTGGATGAAATATGGGGCTGGACCACAGGAGGTCTGACTGAGGGAAGCAGTAAACGAGAGAGCAAAAGCAAAGGCAGCATCACACATCAGCAAAGAGAAAAAGGGTGTGCAACACTATGGGAGAAAAATAAATAAAAAATTAGGGATCCACTGTTGCTATAGCTCCTCATAGAAACATTAAAATAAGGGTGCATAAGCCAAGGGATCAGTTTGGGTTTGCAGTGGAAAATGTTCCTCGTTCCTAACAAATGACTCTTCGCTGGGAAGAAATGACACAAGGTTTCAGTTAGGAAGCTGATCCAGTAACAAAAGGTGCTGCTGGCCTTTCCTTTCGCAGCACCGACACCAACACGATAATCCACCAAGATCTCTCATCCATGCGTCAGAATCCAGGCCTGGGGAGTTCATCACAGGGCGGTTGTTGGTTGTTTATGCTCAGTCCACATTCCCTGTGCCAAAGGAATGGCGAGCATCGGAGCAAGCTGCTATAAATAGCACGGCGAGGCCATGGCCCCCCTTCGCCTGTCACCGGGGCTGCTCTGCCTGAGCCCCCCGGGCCGCTCTCCCGTGAGCCCCGGGCTGCTGCCAGCCCAGCGCCGAGCCCGGGCCCCGCACACGGCCCCGCACACGGCCCGTGCTGCCACCCGGACAGGGGCACCCGCACGGCGGGGCCACCTCCGGCCCGAGCCATCCCGCACAGCCACCCCGGCTCCCCGCCCGCACGGAGGGCCCGGCCCGGCCCCGCCGCCCGGCAGCGCCCCGCACCTACCCAGGGACATGTCGATCTCCTCGGCCCCCGGCTGCGGCCCCGCCGCGGGGCCCGGCGCGGGCTGCGGCCCCGCCGCCTCCATGGGCCCGGAGCGCTGTGCGCTCACTGCGCCTGCCCGGAATGTGCCGGCCCCGCGGCGGCCCCCGCCCGCCCCGGCTGTCCCGGCCGCTGTGCCCGGCCGCGCTTCCCGCAGCGAGCGGCCCCTGCGCCGCCCGCGGCCAGCGCCGCTCCCCGCCCGCGCTCAGCCCTGCCCTGGCTGCCTGCCCTCCGCACCCTCCCCGGCGATCCTTTCCATCGGCACCTCCCCTCCACCCCTGTCTGCCTAAAGCACCGTGCCCCAGCCTCCGGGCTGACACTCTCTTCCCCTTTTCCACCCGAACCCTCCTCCTCCGGGGTTTATGCCAGCAGCAGATGTATCTTAACAACGCGGCAGTCAGTTCTGAGCCATGTGAACGATGGAATGACCTTGCTTCCTTCTGAAGGCCAGAAAAACAAGGCAACTACGAACAGAGATACTCGTGGCTCATATTCGTGCATGAAGCCTGTTCTCGTATTTGTGAGCGCTCGGAGGAGGAAGCACCCATTTGGGACTGGTCTTGGGGCAGCATCCCGATCACTCACAGAACTCAGGCATCTTTCAGTCTCTGCAGCATTGGTTATGGCACCGAAGCTATTCTACAGTTTGAATACAAAATGTGAGCTAAACCATCTTCCTCTACTTTAAAAGACAGGTGAAGAAATAAAAAAGAGATAGGAGAACAGTATCTTCCAAAGGGCTGCCATGCATCAAGTGAGGAGCATGCTTTTCTCTGAAGTTTCCTTAGGATAAATGCTGTGAAATAAACTTTCTCACCACGTATGTAATAGGGGCCACATAAATAGTGAACAGTGTCTGCATGTTCTGCGTTTTCAATACAGTGGGTTTTTTTCCACCTTCACTTCAAATGGGAGAGAAATTTCTACAAGCAGATCAATCAGGGCAAGAATTGCCTCCTGGTATGTGTACAGCTCTTGGGAAGATCAAGTGCTTCTGAAAGTGTTGGTTTAGGGAGTTGTTCTTTCATGAAAGAAAACAATAGAACAGTGCTGAGGGAGCAACAAATAACCTTTGCTGTATTTTGCAGTGATGCTGCAGAGCGACCATGGAAGTGGATTGGTGTGAGATGTGAGGAACTGGGGTTGATACCTTGTTTGCAATGTTCTGTGGCACACAAGGTGTGCTGGGGGCTCTGCTGTTCTCTAGGGAGCCTGGCTCTAACACTGCCCTAGTCCAAGAGCTTTCCTCCAAAAAGAATCCTTGAGATTTCCCAGCAATTTAGCCAGAGTATCCAGAGAAGCTGTGGCTGCTGGGAAAGGGCTGGAAGTATCCATGTAAGCCCAGCTTTTAGTGATGTACTGAGAGAGGAGCTGTATCGTTTCCTAGCACCCAAGGAGGGTGCTGGAGCAGGGCTCTGGGCAGTGTCCTGAAAAGCAGAGCTGTCCAGAGACACGAGGGAAGGGCTGCAGCAGGGGTCTGGAGTCTCCTCGGGTAAGGCCAGCCGTGAGCTGAATGACCCAGGTTTCCACACAGGGCAGCAGCTGGAGTTGGTCACTCTGTGTCATGAACTTTCCTGGCTTTCTGTAAAATCTTGGACACTTGTATCTTCAGAAACTCTGGAAGCAACAGCTGAGAGATTTCCAGCAGTGTTTCTATTCGATCACATTTAGTGAAACATCTGGGGCTAAAGAAAACAAAGGCTGAGTTTAGAAATGGCAACTTCTAAAATATTCAAAAGACATTTTTTGTGGAACTACAAGGCAGTTTTTGCAGCAAATTCCACTTCACCAGCTGAGAGGTTTAATTAGCTGCTTTCCTTCAAGTGCATAGCATTAAAGGCAATGATAAAACCTTTCCAAGCCATATTTATTCATCTGGGAAGTATGAGCTGATATGTGCTCTTATCTCTCAACTGCCAGTCTGTGACCTCTTAACATCTTGGCAAGTGTCCCATTTGCTTAGTATGTCTGAGCACTGCCATCACCTCAGTCCTGAGTAATTTCTCACATCAACAGTGGAGGTGACACATGCTGGATGGAGTTGGTGAAAAGGCCTGAAGAGCCAGAGTCTCTTCTAAAGCACAATCCCCTTGCCCTGGAGAGATTGCAGGTGTCTGGCACACAGACTTGATTCTGCATCCTAAAAAAATGAACATCAGGAATGTGACTTTCACAACTAAAAAGGGAGATTAATAAATGAACAATGAAAAAAGAAACAAATAAGGGGGGAGGGAAAATATTTATGTTATGCTTTCTTCTAGAAGTGTTTTGTGTTGACTCACTGATACTGTGGTAACAAACCATCAAGCTGAGCCCCCAAAGAGCACTGGGGCACCTCTGCCAAGGGTGCCAGGTATCCTTCCCCTTGTTAGGCACAGACAGGACCAACTTGTTCCAAAAGAGCAAGTGTTACTTTGGGGCACTGGGCCTTTCAATTTATCAGATGCTCTGCTTGTCATACAATGAAACCCCAAAGAGCCCTAGAAGGCTTTTAGTTAAAACTAAACAAAAATAAACTCAGTGGTAGAAAGGAACACATGCCAGGAACCAAACACTTGTATTATCTGAAATGTGTTCTTAGTCTCTAAGTAGATTTAGTGAATATTCTGCATGTTAAATTACTTGTCATGATTTATTATTGAAACAAATCTTACACTGTGATCGCAAAATTAACACTGGCCACTTTGTCTTTTATCCTCAGGGGTACCTCATATCACAGTTATTTAATACAAACTTGCAAAATATATGACTGTTCCCTTTCAGTGAAATGGACCCAAAACTACATGACTCAAATGCTAATAAGTGTTTAAGTTTTTTTTTCTTGGGAACTAAGCCCGGGTGGCTGTAGGAATATGTGTCAAGGTAAGGCTTGCACACAAGGTAATATGTGTCAAGGTAAATCTACATGTACACATTTTTTTTATCTGAGGGTGTGGAAGCTTTCCAGTCTCTCCCAGAATTGCTCAAAGTACAATCACTTAATTCAATGGGCCAAAACTCTGATCACTTTTGTGACACTGTATTTTGCCCACAAGGGGGATGTTTAGGCCTTTTAATTTATAAGAACCCCAGGCCCATCATTCTCAGCTCTCCACAAGGCACACTGGCAGCAGTACAGCTACAATAGCTTGCTCCAAAATTGGTGAACCACCACTAGAAAGAGCTTATGTTTTATTGTTAGATGCTGAACATGGCATTTCAACCATATGTTACCACTTGAAAATCATCTTCTTGAGAAGATGGAAGAAAACAAAACACTTCTTCAGGCTCTTGGAAGAAAATTCCAGTTACACAAATATTTCTTTATTTTAGTCATTCCCAGAATGAACTACACTGATGATAATAATTCAGTTTTTGTCCAGAATGTATGCACTGTGTGCCATAAAGTGGCTGAGGTACACACATCACTGAGCTCTGCTTAGGGAAAAAAAGATCAGCCATGGACAATGACAAAATCCTTGCTTTGCTTCTTAACAAATTTAGCAGATGCAGCCTGCATAGAGCAAAACTGAGTTTTTTATAGAGAGGTTGTTGGCTTTTTCTCCCCCTCTCTCTCTGTATGTATTAAAATTGTCATCTCGGCCTGACACATGCAAAACCACTGCTTCAACACCCATAATCTGTACCTCTGGACTATGCAGAGTGTCCCACAATCATCCCATAAAAAAACACATGAACAGGATGTCAGGGAGCTGGAAGCTTCAGTGCAATCTGTAGCCAGCCAAGCAACATTCCAGTAAATGGAGATCCACAGGTACACCACCCTTGGCTGTGCTGCTTGTTGTCATGTAGGAGTAGTTTCAGTTTATCCTGCTTTTAGGGATCTCTCAGTGTTAAAGTAAACCTTCACTGAAAGGCCTACATTTCTAATCTCTCCAAGAAACTAGCAAGCCAAGTATGCTACTGCACAGCAATCAAGTTATTCAGAATAGAATAAAAGGACAAATCCTGTTTGAAATCACACCAAAATGCTCAGCGAAGGACAAAGGCCTCTGCAGCACTGCAAGAAGGTATTTGCAGTGCATGTAGCTGGAATAGGTGGGGATTGAAATGATGTCTTTAAGGAGAGATGCTCCCCTCCCCATTGCCTTCAGAACTGTTTCCTCATGCTCAGTGAAGCATGTGCAGTGAATCAGATGCTCCCAATGGGAAAGGTATTGGGAATATTCTCATTAATGGATCTGCTCTCTCATTGTGGTCTGTACAAAAAGACTTAAAGAACAGATATAGCTTGCGAAGGCAGCTAGACAGAATCCTGCCTGCTTCTTTTCTATTCAAGCATCAGATGCTGGAGTATTTTGAGCTATTTCTAGCTCTTTAAAATGGTGTTTCAGATAAATGACTGCCCTTTAGCAGAGATAGAGTGGCATTTGCCTTTTGATCTAAGAAGGAATATATGTATAATTTGCTTGCTTCACTTTCAAAATGGGCCAGATGGTGCCACTTTAGTATGAATCTTGAATCCAGGTATTTGGAGATTATTTTAACTGCCTGTGGGAAGCTGTGCACACCTGCAGGTCTCGAAGTAGAAAAGTAATATCCATGCCACATAGAGCATGTGCTGATAAGCAAAGTAAACACAAAGGATTTGAAGAGGCATCATGGAGATGGCACCAGGATCACGTGAGTGTTGAAGGAACAGTGACTATGTTACCTCAGTGGCTCACTCATGGAGGAGTACTGAGTGTACTTATAAAGAAGCACAGCAAGAACAGTAGGAAAGCTCTCGTTTAATTGCTTAAAGCAAAAGGAAATCTCTAAAGAATGCAAAAAAGCTCTGCTGACATTTCAGGAGGATTTAATTTCTCTAAGCAAATGGCAATCTAGACTGACAAACCCCCGCTGTGTGTTCACCTCAGGGACTTAACTCAGGAACACTGAAAGCTTCAGGGGTCTCCCTGCTGTTGACAATCCCTGTTGCTTGGCCAGAGGTGCCAGACCTTGTGTGGCCTGGCAGAGGCCTGCCAGCACTGTGGAGGTGTGGAGGGAGCATCACTCTGCACAACGCCCTGGGCAGCACCTCAGTTTGTCACTGTGCTTTGATGTCCTCACCACAGGCGCTGGCCTGCCCTGGGACACAGCCTGCAGCACACGCTGCACGGTGACAAAGATAACCGAGGACTCCACTCTTGC